TAATTAAATGCAATGGCAAGAAAAGAAAAATGCAAATTAGTGATTTGCAGATATACATCCGTAAGATTACAACGACCCGGCGAAACCTATTCTGAGGAACGTCTCCAGCTGGATTGGCGGAGAGAAGCAGCCGCCGAGAAAGAGAGAAAGAGCTCCGCCGTGCCCTAATCCTCATATCGAAGCCAATAATTATCGTATCTTTGATGGCGAACAGTAAGTAGAATGAGATTTACTTTTATCTGTTTGTGACTTGTGAAATCTAAATCTTCTTAAACCGTTTTGTTTCCCTGATCGATTATTTTTTTGATGAGTAGCCATGGCGCGATCTTTTCTCCAAGCTGTGGCCACAGAGGAGGTCTCCCAGCCACTTCGCGCTGTACAGATGGAAGGATTGGTGGGTTTCTAGGTTTCTGTAATTGATTTGTTCTGGGAACGAATTCTCTGTCATTCTTTTCGATCCTTTGTGTTATGGTTAAGTGAAAATTACTTCAAAGTGCACGAATGTGTAATGATTTCTTTTAATAAAATTGTGAAACTTGAAGCAACATGGATTTTTATAGCCATAAAATGTGAAAAGGACATGCGGATTAAATTGATTAGCTTCGGTCTTGTTTCTTTTCTACCATTATTGGATTTAACAAGCCGTTTCCGCATACAGCAGTTGCCTATTTCTAAGATTTAAGGAAAGTTGTATGTATTGTTATCAGTTCAGTACTATTGGAATGTTTGGTTTATTTTGTATTCGCTTTGGTAAGTATGAAGAAACCTCTTTAGGATGACACATTTTTGCTGTAATTATTCTTAGAATACAATTTATTCTTATGCAGGCTGTTCTTAAGATAATTAAACACTGCAAAGAATTCTCGCCAGCTTTAGTTACAGGCCAACTTCTGGGTTTAGATGTTGGTAGTGTCCTTGAAGTCACTAACTGTTTTCCTTTTCCGGTAAGCCTATACATATCTAAGTTGCAATCATCGAAATTATATTGTGAAATTTACATATATAGCACACAATTCTTATGTATTTACATATCTCACACCTAAACGTTCATATTTGCATACAGAGCACTTTGGTTCCTTAAACCTATGCATGAAAAGGTGTTTTTCGCTTTTTAAGCATGACAAATTGACAATAGTGCTATTTATTATGTGATATTAAAGGTTTGAGCTCTATGCGTGGAAATAATAAAAGTTTATGTGTGAGATATGTAATTACATTAGAATTGTGTGCTATGTTTGTACATGCCCCTATTATATTATGCTTGTTTATTTCACTAAGTGAGGATATTGATTTCACTTCTAATGCCTTGCTGAAGACTAGGGAAGAGGATGATGAAAATGAGGCTGATGGGGCGAACTATCAGCTAGAAATGATGAGGTGCCTAAGAGAGGTCAATGTTGACAACAATACTGTGGGATGGTATTCTAAAACTTTTCTTTTTCTCAAATGTTTTTTTTTGTGGATTTCTGTTGAAACCATTGTTAGTTATAATCTATGATTGATATATTGTTATCTATTTCTATTTTGGTGTCGTTAAGTTAATTTAAACGCTTTCTAATTATAGATTTAACTGCATAAAGTTAAATTTACAACATTATTATTCATACTTTGTTGAAACATGTCCCATGGATGATTTTTAACATTATGACGAACCATCTGCTGGTTGGTGTTTGTCTATGATCTGTTAATTACACCGTGCAATGACTAGTGATGTAATTATAGGGTTTCTCAATGATGAAAAAATTGTCACTATGTGAACCGCAAACTTGAATTAATTACTATTTATGCAATATTTGTTGATTTGGTGCACATTGCGAAAAATGATGCGCGTCAAAGGCTAGAATTATTGAAGATTTATATGATGAAGCAGTGATAATTATTAGAAGTAGTTGTATATCAAGCATGATTGTTGAGTCAGTATGTTTTTGTAGAGATTATGGAGATGCTTACAAGGAATAATTCAAGCGAGGCATTTTAATGTATGTTTTATGTTGATGATAATTTTAATTATTGGGAAGTTTAAATCATTGAAAAAATGTTTAAGATATAAAACGCTTAAAAGTATAAAAAATGAACATATGATGAGCAATTTCTATTGGTGTGATTTTACCCTCTATCAATTAAAATTATTTGAAAAAAAAAGAAAATCTACATATGATGGATTTAAGTATTTTAAATCTATTATGCAAATGCATGATGATATAGATGATGAACTTGCAGAGTCAATATTATGCGATGAAAATGGGGAAGAGGAACCTCAAGAGTATGTGATGAGAGGATATCATGAACTATTATATGTATTTGTGTATTGGGCTGTAAATAAAAAAATTAATAGTTTCGTTTAGAATATAGCAGAAATCAAGTGTTAAGATGGATATGCAGTTGAAGTAAAAATAATAAATTAAGGAATAATTATATAAAAGAATGAATGGAACAATATCTATGGAATAAGATGATTTAAACTAGAGCCAAGTGATTAAGCGTGTAGAACAAACGGTAAAGCATATATCTATTAGATAGGTAGTTAAAATCAATGTTGGAAAATTAAAGAGGAGAAGCAATAGGCTTAACGTAAACTTGGAGAAAAGTTGCGCCAAATTATATGCAAAAATGGGTTTAACACCTGACAGGTACTTGTCAAAAATGAATGAAAAATAATATTTATAAAATTGACCGAAATAGTTGGTATGACAATAATGATAACGATGATGAAGTATGCATTAATTATATTTTACGACATGGTTTCAAATTGCTGATCATGTTACTTGTTTCTAAGTAATTAGTTACAGATAATGAGGGTAGTAATTAATCCATAAATCAAGGATAAGTGTAATCCATGTTTAATAATTACAATTATAATCCAATATTTAGTTCTGTTAATGATGACAATTCTCAAATTAGTGATTGATCAATAATTTAAGCTTGATCCAAGTTTTTGATTAACAAACTTTTGCATATTATGTCTTCATATAACATAATTCTACTAAATGAAATTTCTGCTGAAATAAATGAAAATTTAGAAAAAAAACAGTGAAAAAAATGGATATATGGAGATTCAAATTAGTAGAGTAGGATATGATAAGCTCTTATCCATCTATATTTTTGGAAGATATGATAATTTTAGTATATGAGATTTCTCATAAAGAAGTATGGGGGTACACATGATAATACAAGTTAGAGTCATGATTGGCGGTGTCAAAATGGAGAAGTATCTTAGGAGTACCATGAAATAAGAAAATGATGTGGAAACTTGAAGATAAAGTTTATAACCCAATTAATCATACATATTTTTGAAAATGACATTAGCCTTAGAGTTAAAAACTTTTACATGATAAAAAACTAAAATAATAATCTATAGGGAAGTTTACATACATGCCACTCAATTCTTGTGTAAAGCATCTCTTGAGTTTAAAATAGGTATCAGATTTGATAGTACTGACTACTGATTAATCAATACCTTATGCATATTTTGTTTCTTGGAGGGTAACCAGCAACATGGAAAAAACCATGGAGATTGCTTTGTGATTAGGTTGATCATGTAACAGCTAATTAGAGTACGGGATCATGAATAGATGAAAGGCTTTTCAACACGATTTTTTTTTTAATCACCAAATGATATTGTGGATTATAATATTTTAAGTGGATTGGAATAATTTATTTAATAAAAAGTAGAATAACATTGGTATGCATGATAGTTCTTCAAGATTGGTGTTTGTACCACTAAAATTTTTATTATTTATATATTTAAGTCATTGTGCGTTACATGATTAGATTATTGAGATTCTATTGGAAGCAAAAAGTAATGGTTGCGGTTTTGTTGTAGTCTTCAGATTTGAGTGGTATTATTGCAAATAGATTTAGATACATGTTCATTTTGTAAATAATTAAAATTTGGGTGTTACTCAAGAAATTGCTCTTTTTTGCTTTTAGTGTTTATGGTATTTATGATTGAAATTATTTAATCTTAACTTGTTGCTATGTTTCTTTCTTTTCTGAGAATGTTGATCTCCAAAAATAGCTTATACGTTGGATGCTCTTTCTATCACTGGTGATATAATTTTATCTACTTGTTGGAACTACTTTTTTTTGCGTGTACTCATTATTTCAATTTCTACCATGTAATGGTGTCAGTATGTTGATGTTTTGTCTTCATTCTTTTTAGGTATCAATCAACTTTGTTGGGATCTTACCAGACTGTAGAGCTTATTGAAACATTTATGAACTACCAGGTCTTGCAATCTTCTTTTTTTTATTTAAATTTTTTGAGGGCATTTACATACATACCACCCATTTCCTATGTATTTTCATATCTAACATCTAAACTTTACCTTTTACATTTATACTGCTTAAATCTTTAAATTCACATCTAAAATTTCACCATTTTATCTTTTAAAAAGTGAAATACACCTTTTCTTTTTCTTTTTCTTTCCTTTTTTTTTGAAAGCTATGAAATACTCCTCATGCCATGTTTGTAAAAGATTCTGTTTAGGTGTTAGATATGTAAATACATAGGAATTGAGTGGTATATATGTAAATTTTCTTTTGCCCCATCATGATCATTTTTGGCCTTATTCGGACTAGCTATCTGCGGTCAACTTTACGAACCTCAATCTTTGTTTTTTTTGTTGAGTTTGCATGAGATGTTAAATCTTTCTTTCATTAATCTTTTTTCACTACTACAAATAATGTTTCTTTTTTTTGGTTGCCTTTGTTTTTCTTTATCTCTTTACTTTAGCTGTGCCAATTTATTTTTTTGTTACATTTTTTGGCCCTTCTTTTTGTATGCTCAAACCAAATAAATATATTCTTCATTTTTTTCTGTCCTTCTATTATCTCTCTATTATATTAATATTTCGCTATATCATTCTTAGTTTTATAACACATTCATCTAAAGTTCTTTCATTTTTTTAAACTCAATTATGCTGTTAGCGATTGAATTGTTACCTATCAATTGGATCCATATTATATGGCCAACGTTGCCGTAAATTTTCTTGTTTTTCTCTTATCTCATCAAATAACAACAACAACAACAACAACAACAAAGCCTTAATCCCACTACGTGGGATCGGCTACATGAATACTTTTTCTCCATTGCGTTCTATTTAGTGTCATATTTTCATTTTGTTCTAAAAAATTAAGATAATTTTTTATACAATAAGCCCAAGTCTTCCTTGGTCTACCTTTGGCTTTCCTAACATAAGTTGAATTTAAAATATCTACTCTCTTAATCGGATCATCAGATGGTCGGCGTTTAATGTGACCAAACCATCTAAGACGACTTTTTCTAATTTTGTCCGTCACTGGGGCTACACCAACCCTATCACGGATATAATCATTTCTTTCGCATTTTGTCTCTAAGTGTAAATCCACTCATCCACCTACTCGGCAACACTTAACTTAGTATTATGCTTCTCTTTTAAAGGCCAACATTCAGCGTCATAGAACATTGCATGTCTCCACTGCCCTCTTCTAAATTTTTTTTTTAGTCTAAGCGGTACTTTTCTATCACACAAAAGGCCTGAAGCATTCCTCCACTTCAACCAACCAACTTGAATTCTACTATTAACATCTCCATCTATATCACCATCACTTTGAAAAACGGACACCACGGACACCAGATATCTAAATCATTCACACTTTTTAATAATCTGATCACCCAAAGTTACACTTCATCACCCAAAGTTACACTTCTGAGTTACACTTCTGTCACTAGAACTACTACTACTAAAATTACATTTCATGTATTCATTTTAATAATCTGGTCACTACTAGACCTCCGTGATTCAAGTTTTCTTTGGGCTTTTTCCCTCGTCTTATCCACGAGAAGGATATCATCAGCAAAAAGCATACACCAAGGTACATCCTCTTGTAAATGTCCAGTAAGACCATCCATAACTAAATCAAAAAGATATGGGCTTAAAGCCGATCCCTGATGTAATCCAATAGAAATAGGAAAATGTTTGATCAATCCTCCTTCAGTTCAAACACAAGTAATAGCTCTAGCATACATATCTTAATGACTTGAATATAAGTCATATCAACATTTTTCTTCTCAAGAATTTTCTAAAGGATATCTCTTGGAACCTTATCGTAAGTTTTTTCTAAATCAATAAAAATCAAATGTAAATCCTCCTTATTATCTCTGAACTTCTCCATCAAACCTCTCAATAAATGTATAGCTTCCGTAGTAGACCTGCCCGACATAAAATCTAATTGATTATGAGAAATTTTTGTAATACGTCTTAACTTATGTTCAATTACCCTCTCCCATAATTTTAAAGTATGACACATCAACTTAATTCCTCTATAATTGACACACTCTTGTGCATCCCCTTTATTCTTAAAAATGGGGACCAAATTACTCTTCCTCCACTCCTCGGGTATCTTTTTAGTTTTTAAAATAATATTAAAGAGTTTAGTAAGCCAAGTAACTTATCTCATCAGACACTTTACTTTTTTAACTTCTTAATATTAACCATTGAAATTATTTCCTCTTATTATACTCTCTTAGAGCAGGCAATCTTTTTCATCTTGATTTTAAGGATCACCAGTCCTTTTTTTTTCATAAAACTTACTTAAACTTCTAAAGTATATGGCTAAATTACTTGACAATTTTTTTGATGTTTAGGGGTTGTTTGTTTTAATTCAAGTATTTGGAGGTTGTTGGACTTCATAAGGGCGAGAAGCGAATTTAATTAAGATTTCCAAATCACTTCAATCGTGTTTATTTTTTTCTTATGGTAAAAATGAAATAACACAGAGTTATTGGGAGATTGGCTGATAATTTTAGTTTTACATATAGTTAGATTTAAATAAGACATAACCAATTGGAGGATGGGTAGAAATCAAACATAACTTAATCGGAAAGAAGTGAGTTCACAAAACAAAGAAGCATTATCGAATCTCACTTTAATAAAACTCAACTTATGGAACTCAAGTTCTACCACTTCTAAATAATTGCATACAATCTTCTTTTTATTCCTGTATAAAAAAGTAGTACGAAGAAGTTAATTTTATTTTTCTTTTCATACTTTCCTCATACAACTTCCATCTGTTTTTTTTTTCCTGATTAGTTTCTAAAATTGATATTTTCATTGAAAATATTAGCTTTATTTGCTGATATTACTTTCTATTGCAATGAATATGACTGCCACATATATTTTTTTAATCAACATTAGGCTTTATTAACCAGTCTTTAGGGAGCTGAGAATTGCTCCATCAGCTCCATACTAATTGGATGGCAGTAACTCAAGTTTTTAGTCTTGATTATGATGCTGCCATATTTTGGAATTCTTAACCATTGTTTCTTTATGCATTAATTCATTCATTTTTTGTAAATATTTTTTAAGGTTTTCATATAGGCTTAAATACATCTTATAAATCCTAATAAGTGGCTGTGGAAAATAAGCTTATTTGGTTTGTGCCGGTCCAATTAATATGCCAATAAGATGATGAAAATAAAATAATGTAAAGGGGATATATGAAGGAAAAGAGCGAAATCAAAGATATGAATGGAAAATAAATTTCATGATTCTTATTCTCAATGTTAAAGTTCTAGTAATAGGACACTAGTCTTCCTATTTGGATTTATTTTCGTATTGTTTTTGGTTTTTAATTAATTTTTGCATTAGTTATTTGGATTAGTAGTTTATGTCCTACAAAATTTGAGTTTATTGAATGGTTTTGCTTTTTTGTGATGATTTGCCTTAGAAACTATAGACCTTAAGATCTTATGTGGTATTAAAGCTTAAGGTCATATCATGTCTTTTAGATTTTGGACATCATATCAAGGTTTTCTATAACAAACAATAATGTACAATTTAAATGAAATTGGTCTTGTTATGATTAAACAGTTTTAACGTAATTATTTTGGAGTTAAGAGTTGGATTCCAATATTTGTTGGGAAATTTAATATTTTAGAATTGCCAGATTGGATTTGTAAGAATTTCCTAAAAGATATAATATTTTTTATTCCTAGAAAGGTGAATTTGTGTAAATGAAATTATTGGACATGCTCAAATATTTTGGCGAAGAGTTGCTTCTTAAATATACATGGACTTTTGTAAAATATAGACTTGAAGAGCATATTTGCATTCTTTGATCAAAAAGATCAATTATGTGATCAATTTAAGAATTTTAAAGGATGTAGCTGCCATAGAGAGAGCGTGTGTTAATTTGAAGGTTTTGTAATCAAGCGTCTCTTTTATAGATCTTATTATATTATTAATATTTATTTCATCAAACATCTTAAGGTTGGAATCATGAATGAATTAGGCTATAGTTCTTTAGAGATAATAGATGAGGCTTATTAAAGAGCTTTAGAGTTGGAAGTGTTAATAACTATTTTTCTATCACAATTTCCGCATATTTACTTAATTTTTGTAAAGAAACAGATCCACACTCATATGAAGCCTATTAAACACACACTAACACCAGCATCTTGTATGGCCAAAATTTGATTATATTGAAGAAATTTTAATCGCGTAATTCATGAAAATTCTTTAAACTGTGCTTTGATGCTAAAAAATTTAGAATTACATAATGATTTTAAATTTGATTCTGTTAAATTGGTATCTGCGCCATGATTTTTTCTAATACAACTTTATGTCCCTAATTCTAAAATTGAACTAAAGTTTAATACCCATCTGAAAATGAATTTGAACAACGGATCGTATCTAAACTTAAACTATAACTAGAATCTAGTTCTATCCTGGATTTAGACTTGAGAATATTAAAGATTTGAGGGATGTGTGTAAATATGAAAGTTTAGGTATAAGATATGTAAATACATAAGAATTGTGTGCTATTTATGTAAATGAATTGTGTGCTATTTATGTAAATGCCTCTAACAATTTGTACTCATAGGCGATGCCATATAAGCCACTCTGAAATTAGGGTTACACGACCAACTTCAGAAAAAAATATTTTCCTCTATGAAGAACATTGAAGATATTCCATTTCAGAACTTGATCTTCTAGCATTATATATGTTTCATTTTTTCTTTATACAGGAAAATATTCGTCGCTGTGTTTGCATAATATACGATCCATCAAGGTCGAATCAAGGTGCACTTGCTCTGAAAGCCTTGAAACTTACAGAAACATTTATGGATCTATACCGTAACAACAATTTTACTGGGGAGAAGTATGTGAATATCTCTCTGTTTCTTCCTGTGAAGTTGACTTACAATTGGGTCTAACATGCGTCTATCTTCTTGTAGGTTGAGGGAGAAGAAATTGTCGTGGGTGGATATCTTTGAGGAGATACCCGTGAGTTGATTATTCTCGGTTCTCCCTCCCAATTTCTCATACTTCACATCTTGAGTCTTGATGTTACATTTCCTTTCTTTTTTTTTGTTTTTGAAAATTTACATGCAAACTGCTCAATTCTTATGTATTTACATATCTAACACCTAAACTTCAACTTTTTACATACGTGCCACCTTCCCTATGCATGAAAATGTGTATTTCACTTTTTAAAAGTTAATATGTTTTTTAATGCGATAATAAGGATTTGGGTGGTATAAATGTAAAAAGGTAAACTGAGGTGTTAGCTATGTAAATACGTAAGAATTGGGTGGTCCGTATGTGAATGCGCCAACTTTTTGTATTATTTCTTTATAATTATGCTCTGAAATTCTGTCTTTTCATCTAATTTTAAACTTTCCGTCCAGTTGGGAGAATATTCGGTTAAGAATTTTGTTTTTATTCTACAGATTAAGGTTTCTAATTCTGCACTTATCAGTGGTGGAATATTCGGTTAAGAATTTTGTTTTTATTGTACAGATTAAGGTTTCTAATTCTGCACTTATCAGTGCTTTCATGACAGAACTGGAGCCTGATTCTCCAGTTGTTCAGGTTTGTCTTTCCTATTCTGCAGCTCCGCTTTGCTGATTATGGCTATATTAATACTTTTCTGGAAAATTTAGATAATTCTTATTTATTTACATATTAAACACTCAAAGTTTGATGTTTACATTTATAACACTTTGGTGTCATAAATCTATGCATGAAAATGTGTATTTCACTTTAAAAAAGATAGTGATGGTGGTATTTTTTATGTGGTTAAAGACTTGAGTGGTATGCATGTAAATATGAATGTTTAGGTGCTAGACATTTAGATACATGAAAATCGCCTGGTATGTATGTACATGCCCCTACTTCTCTTTTCTAATATTTAAAAGCCTCTTTGCAGTGTGATCTTGATAGGCTGAAACTATCAACAGCACCTTTTATGGAAAGAAACTTGGAGTTTTTGATTGAATGCATGGATGATCTTTCCGCTGAACAAAATAAGGTTTGATTTTTATTCATAAAATTGTTTTTTCTTTATATCACTTCTCAAACCTATTTAATGGAGGATTTCTTGCCTTCTTTCAGTTCCAATATTATTATCGGAATCTCTCGAGGCAACAGGCTCAGCAGCAAACCTGGCTCCAAAAACGAAGGTATAAGAGTGCTCTTAATGAAATGACTTACTGTTTTAAAGAAGAGAGAGAGAGAGAGAGAGAGAGAGAGTTATTCTTTTTACATTTCAAATAGGAGGAATTAGTAAAGAAGGATAAGCATAAAAGAAACACAGCTTGCTAAAGAAGAACAGGAAAAGAGGAAGGTCTAGTCAAAAATATTTTCAGAGAGCGAGGGAGGGAGGGAAGGAGGGAGGGTGCGTGTGTGAAGTGCTGAATTAGTCTCCTAACCGTTTACATGGGGCTATTTTAGCCCCAAAGTTTGTAAGTATCAACTTAATCTCCAAACTCTTTTTATTAGACTCTTTCAGCCCATATTAAAAGTATGAGGATTAAATTGATACTTCTATAGACTATGGGACTAAAATAACCCATTGCAACGAGTCAGGTGACTAAGTGACCTAATTTTTTATTGATGCGGAACATTTCTCTTGTATGTTAAAATTGCCGCTTCTATTTTGTTGTTTTAGAACCGAGAATATTGCTGCTTCTATTTTGTTGTTTTAGGACTGAGAATATTGCGAGGAAAGCTGCAGGAGAGGAGCCGCTGCCCGAGGAAGACCCTTCAAATCCAATATTCAAGCCGATACCCGAGCCTTCTCGTCTAGATAGCTATCTCATAACAAATCAAGTTGCTAACTACTGCAACCAAATCAATGGGTATGTTTTTCCATTAAATGTGGTGCAAATTTCTTTACTTAGGTGCCGTTTGGGATCACTTTTGGTTTAAGTTTTTTTATTTTTGTTTTTGTTTAATTTTATTTTTTGTTTTTACCTGAAAATGTGTTTGATATGCTATAACATAGTAGTTCTTAAAAACATTCAACACAAAATTTATGTTTTTTTTAATGTTTTTTTTAATGTTTTTAAAAACAAATTAATATGTTTTTGACAATAAAAAATAAAATCATGCAAAACATGCACTAAACAAACGTTTTTTTAAAAATAAAAAGCAAAAATAATGATAAAAAGTGATCCCAAACAAGCCCTAATTCATTTTCATTAATAAATACTTAAAAAATAAAAAGAAAACAAAAAACTTACTCTTTTAACTTGAATATTTCCTTATGATGCTATGCTCTGGCTGAGTCTTCATGTTCTTGATAGTTTTTAGCCAATGAATCTTATGTGTTGGCAATCACGACATTTGACATTCACATTGATCATATTCAATTTAAATTTCACGTGTCCCAGGTGCTATTCAGTTGAGAATCTTTTTTTGATTAATAATATTTTTTTTATGTTTGTTTAACAAATGACCATGTGACATGGTATTTTGTTGGGCCAAAGATTTTTGATTGCCTTTCCTTTGCAGATGCCAGATGGGATATTGTCTGAATTAATTAACTTTTTGAGAAAGATATTCTTTACCCCGAGAAGTGTGAAAATAGCCCTCAACTCTTTGTAGGGAGCCATTTTAATCCCACATTGCCAATTTAATCTCTTGACTCTTCTAATGGCTCTACTATTTCAGCCCATATAAAAAGAGTATGAGGACAAATTTTACACTTTCATAGACTCTGAGACTAAAATGATTCAATATAAATATTTCGGCATTTTACTATTCTTTTCTCATTCTCAAATTAACATATTTACACCATCCTTATTTTACTAGTTATTTAAAAACATTATGTTGACCCATCATATGTTCGTAAAGCACTCTTATACATTGCTTGTCATGTAAGAATTGTGTTGATTTTGAATTTGCGAGAAGCATTTCTCATTTGCGTGGCCTGTTGAAGTGATTTTAGATGATACATGAAATAATATGTTTTTTTTTTTATCTCGAAGGTTATATGTGAAAATGGAGATGATGGGTTTAAAAAAAAATGGTGTTTTAGAGATATGTTGACATTATTAAAGATAAATATGATGGTCTAGTGACTAAATTTAAAAGTTCATGTGGAGTGATCAAAGAATTTAGTTGGAATATGATTACATCAAACATTAATATTTTAGTTTTGATTATGGACATGTTTACAAATGTACTGCAATTGACATGTATATGCTATTTGAATATGACATTTTTCATTAATGCGACATCATCTGAATTCAGTGAAAATGCAGACTATTGAGAGAAATATATATAAGATCTTAAGAGTAATATAACAATGATTAATTATTTAATATATTTGATTTATTTTGTAGAAATGGATTACTAGGCTATTGTGTAGTTGTTGAGTATCTTTGATTTAATAGACTAAATAATGATCATATAAATGAGGTTGTGTCTTACTGGAATCAAAGCATAATTGTTGAAAAGGAAGGTTTCATGTAATGAGAAATAACTATGAAGATACATGATCAATTTTATAAAAATTATAATTTTGTTTGACCATGAAATTTTGATCCGAATGGAGAGTGGGCACCAAAAAAATCATTAATAATCAAGTTGAATGTGCTGGGAATGATATATTACTTATTGGAGTCATTATAGTAGAAAATAGACTCAGTGATTTATAATGTTGGTGACAAAATTTGCACCATTAGTATAAGTAGATAGAATTAATGTGAAAGGATAAGTGATGAAAACCCATACCCATTAAAGGTAATATGATTAAAGGTTATGAAAGAAAGATCATGCAAAATAGATGTAATACTCTATAAGATGATTCGAAGAGGTTCACGAGGCCGACCATAAAGTGTCGAGCTGCGGTTAATAATGATGATGATAAATATGAACGACTTCTCTAGACTCACTTTCCTTACCACTTCTTTGAAAAGGATGTTCGTCTTTCATGCCTCATTTGACAGAGAAATTATTGCATCAGGTCATCAGACGCAAATTTGCGTCAGGTGTCCAATTAAAATTGGCCATTTCAAAATGTGGACCTCATTGAAATTCACGGCTTGGTTGTATTTTAAAAGTGTGAGGCCCATCCTAACACATGGCTAATTTTAATTGTACACCTGACACAAATTTACATCAGATTTATGATGCAATAATTTTTCCATTTTACACGACAATAATGAGAGTGTGCGACTAGCCTGGCATTGAAAAATCATGTTAGAGGTAAAAAGGAAGAACTTATTGCTGAGGGGTTGTTTGTGATCACTATTACTTTTTGTTTTTCATGTATTAAATTTATTTTATTTTATTTATGTTTGGATTTGAATTAAAACATGTTATGTTTATAGTACATCCATGCAATTAGTAGCTCCTTACTGTTGGTGCATATTTATTGATTTGGGATCCACTGCTACTGAAGATTTTCATGTTGGAAATTTGCAGGGCTGCAGGGCAGAGCTTCAGCAAGTTATATTTAATGAAAGCTTTTCAGGAGAACTGAATCTGTATCTGAACAAAATACTTTGATCATCTGATTTGTTTTAGTGTAATTTCTGGTGCGCAGTCCAAAATTTTAAACATTCTTGGAACTCTGCAGTTTAATTAGTAAAGCTTGATTAATCATCTAATGTTGGTTAATTAGCAGTTTTTGTTAATTGTAATTTTATGCTAATGAATCATGGTAATTATGTACATACCACTTAGTTCTCATGGATTTATATGATTTATCGACTATCTGTATCTTAATTCATTTCATGTATAGTTTTGTGATATCAAGGTGTTATAAAATGAATCGGTAAATGCATACAAATTGTGGTGTGTATGTAAATACTTCACATTTAGCACCTAATTTTTTTTATATTTACATGCATGACATTTAAATGTTTAATTTCATGTCAAAAAAATATCATTATTATTTATTTTGAATGAGTGAATTATGAAACTGAAGTCTTTCAAATATAGATATGAGATCTTAGAAAATTTAGATAGATCTGTAAATGCAGAAGAATTATTGTATATATGCGTGAATTTCCTTTGAAAATTTTGTTTTTAAAAATGTTCAAAATCATGTATTTATGAATTTCAAACAATGTTGTTTTTGATTAATTGATTTAGAAAATTTAGATGGTAGATCTGTAAATGCAGAAGAATTGTTTTACATATGCATGAATTTCCTTTGAAAATTTTGTTGTTAGAAATGTCCAAAATCATGTACTTATGAATTTCAAACAATGTTGTTTTTGATTAATTGAATTTTAATCACTATAGAATTATATTTGGTAGAAGATTGTTATTAATCAAGGGTCCGTTTGAGATAGCTTATAGGTGCGGGCGGTGTTTTCAAAATGCCATCGTAAACGTCGCTGTATCTTTTGGTTCGTGCATTTCGTCAGTATATCCAAAATTACGTATTAGTTTTTACATTAAACGCAGACCGCAGGTTGACCCCCGCGGTCGGCCCACAGGCCGTGTTTCAGGATAAGCAGTTTATCCTGAAGCGCTAAATCTGCCCCAAACGGACCCTAAATTTGCAATCGCTTATTTTATGGTCATAATAAACTGAAAAATAAAATTTAAGTTATTTACATGGAATCCAACATGTTATATTTAATAGTGTTAATGCTCAGTAATATCCAACATGTTATATTTAATAGTGTTAATGGCTCAGTAATAATTTCATCTAAATAATATATACAACTTAAGAAGAATATACAATTATATTCTCAAATTAGTGTAAATATATATATATATACATATAAATAAATATCATACAATTTTTATGCAATTAAATATATAATATTTCAGTACATATCACATGCGTGCCGCATATCCCGACCTATTGGTTGACATTCTTGGTGTAAGACCCATATTGGGGGATCGAATCCCCCTCTCGAGACATGAGCATTAAGGACGATGACACTCAAATTGTTAAACACATTAGAAGTGACTGGAGACTAGTATAATAGCCTCTGATCATTCCTTTAATATATATATATATATATGCAAAAGAATGAGTAATATTTAAACTTAGGACCTATTTTTAATATTATTGTCACACAACAAATGATGCAAACTAACTAAAAAAAGACGAAAAAAAATCATATTATCAAGGGTTATTTACAAGAAAAGAAGATAATGAAAAATATCCAAATACAAACTAATATCAACTAGAAAAATGCTATTAAGGGAAGACATGAATGCATCTTCATCAATTTAAACTCTAAACCCTAAAACCTAGCTTGCGCAAATAGGGCCCCCCTATAATAATAAGAAATATGAACTAAACTATAATCCGACATTGACAACCCTAACAATTAAAAAAATTTAAAAAAAGAAAAAGAAAAAAAATATACTATGACGCAAAACCCTCAACTTCGCCATCATCAGAGACAGATTGAGAGCCGCAAGTCCCTCTTTCGGGCTCCTCCACATCACTGCCCCTCGTCTGTATCCCCCCTTTCTTTCTTCCTCCACCAATCCTTCGTTGTAGTTCTAAAAATATGAAAAATTATGAGTATTAAAATGTTCGAAGATTTACATAAATACCACTCAATTCATATGTATCTAAATATATAACATCTAAACTTTAATTTTTACATATACATGCATCTTACCTATGTGATGAAATATTTGGGTGATATTAATGCAACAAAGCAAAGTTTATGTGGTAGATATGATCCTCTCATAAATCTTAAATACTGAACAAACAGCGAAATAGTTTTATGTAAAAGATTTAGCAAATATATAATTAAATAATTTACAAAATCATAAAATGTGGAGCAAAAGATGATTTATAATTACTTTTGTGGTTAATTGCATTGCGTGTGACTGCCAGAAACTCTTCCCAGTTGTAATGGCTGAGCTCTCGTTTCTCCTCCTCTGGGAGTTCAAAGTTCGGCTGTCTGCCGCACATAAAAGCTGCTCTGTGGGAAGAAGAAGAAGATATGACACAAAGAAACAATCTTGAATTGCAGAAAATTATTAAGGAAGATTTACATACGTACCCCTTAATTCATATGTATTTACATATCTAACATTTAAACTTTATACATGCCACCTTACCTATGTATGAAAGCTTGTATTTCTCTTTTCAAAAGTTAAAATAGTCTTATTGTTATGTGATATGAAAGATTTGAATGGTATAAATGGGGGAAAAAAAACAATTTTTAGGCGTTAGAGAAGAAAATACATAAGAGTTGGGTGGTTGGTATGTATGTAAATGCCTCAAAAAATGGGGAATTTACATACATAGCATCTAAAATTTACCTTTTACATTTATAGCATACAAATCTTTCATATCACATAACAAACACCACCATTTTAACTTTTAAAAGGCGTAAGTATGTAAAAACTAAGGTTCAAAAGTTAGATATGTAAATACAAAGGAAATGACGGTTATGCATGTAAATCTTCCAAAAATAAAATCATAGAAAAAGCCATTGTAAAGTACCTGTCATACAACCTTGCTGCATCTTCTTGAGATCCAACAGTGCCCAAATGAATCTGCTTCTTCTCGACTTTGATGGCTGCCTGCCATTTCATGTTCTTGAAATAAACGCCTCTCAGTATGCAAGGTTCTTGGTCTTCATACAGTTTCCGCCGGTATCTCTTCCTGTGTCTTATATCTTTACCTGCAAAAATAAATTTTTTTTGAATATTTAATTGGTATTAATTACATCATTGATGTTAAAATGTGGCCCCGAATGATGTCGGGATTCGATCGAAAAATTTGCAATGCGACATGTCATGCAAATCAAAGTTACCCGTTAAGTTTTTTGGTCGGCCCAACCCTCAAATCTACCGTTGAAACTCCTCACGGGTGTAGCGGGATAGACCCCATAGTATAAACCCTTATTATGATGGGGACATTTACATAATGGCACAAAATTCTTGCGTATTTACATATCTCATATCCAAACTTTCATATTTACACATAGTCCTCAAACATTGATATCGCATAAAAAAAACACCATTATCATTTTTTTAAAAGTGAAAGACATATTTTCACACATAGCTTTAATATTCCAAAGTGCTATGTGTTTAAATATGACAGTTTAGGATTGAGATATGTAAATACACAAGAATTGTGTAATAGGTGTGTTGTGTAAATTTCCCTTATTAAAATTTGCACTCAAACATAAGCACAAACACAAACACAAACATGAACACACACACACACACATATAACTATGCATATGTTATGTAAGCCGCAAATCTATCCTCTTGTAACTTCTATTTTTTAGATATTGCATAAAAATAGGACCATTATCACATTTTAATAGTGAAATACATATTTCACGCAAAAGTTTAAAATAACAAAGTGCTATGTGCGTAAATATGAAAGCTTAGTTTGAGATACGTGAATACATAAAAATTGTATGCAAGGTGTGTAAATTTCTCTTATTAAAATTTGCACTTACGCACAAACACACACATATAATCATGCATATGTTATGTAAGCCGCCAAATCCTAAGATCTCTCCACTTTTAATTTTTACATTTCTGACCATGATTTTCCCCGTCGAGGATTTTCCACGAAAATTTAAGTGTTTCTTAATATGTGTTTGAGATTTATCTCTTCATTATTATAACAGTTAGGAATACGAATATCATTACATTACAACATTTAATGCTAGTTTAAAAAGGAAAAAGCGCAAGCCATTTATTTGATCATTGTTTGAGGAGAATTTGATGTAGCATAAAACAAATGTACATGAGTTCATACCATGCATGTAGTTATATTCACTGGATTAAAGCAATTATCAAATCACCCTTTTATAGATTAAGAAAGCATGGATAATTGAATAAGACATTTGAAAGTGCTAAATGGGTGAACTCAATCAGCAATCTTCTATTTCAATGATCTTGCAATATAATTTAGTGAAATTTACATTACATACCACACAATTCTCATGTATTTAAATATCTAACACCTAAAGTTTAATAATGTACATTTATAACACCTTTCTGTAAAGCTATGCATAAAAATGTGTATTTCACTTTTAAAAAGATAGTGATGGTAATATTTTTGATGTAATGTCAAAGATTTGATTGGTCTGCATGTAAATATGAATGTTTAAGAGTTAAATAAATACATAAAATTGTATAGTATGTATGTAAATGCCCCTGTAATCTATTGAACCCAATGATTACTATTTCTACCAACTAAAGTTTGAAGGAATTATCTCTAATACTATAGTTATAGAGGAGGCAAGAAATGGAGATGTAATGGATAGTATAGTGGTTGTAGCGCTTCTATGGTGAAGGCACTTGGTGAAAAAAATTGACCTTCATATATATTTCGCAATTTGATACGATTGAATGCATTGAAATGGTGGCCAACAGGGGCAATATCACATGAGCCTAATCTTAAACACCTCAAACTCAATTAAAATCATCTAATACTCGATCCATTTCATGAAATATATAGCGTTAAAGCTTCTAGAATATAAAAAATATAATAGAAAAACACCTATATAGCGCTGTAGCTTCAAAAATATTAAAAATACAATAGAAAAACACCTATATTGCGTGGGTCTCTCCTCGAAAGTGAGATGCAAAATTTGCCCACGTGCGGAGTGAAAAACACGAGTTTAAGACCCATGAAAGATGAGAGGTTAATGAAATCATGTTGTTAATAAAAAAAATAATTAAATGAAAATACTTAGTTAATTAAATATTATATACTAAAATGGAACCCTACCTTCAAATATCCATTGAATTCCAACACGATAATTTAAAATACAAGATTCTCAAGAAAATTATAAAAATTTCAAATATTCAAATAAAATTTACTGCCAAAAGCCGAAGAACAAATTTCATTCACTTCACGAAAGCTTGTGAAGATAAGATGACAAATTGAAGATCATCACATCCACTAAAAAGTCAATATTATATCAAATGTACTCCTATAACTACTCTAAGAAAATTTCACACCATTAAGGATGTAGCAATATAATTTTATCTTCAAATGACACCATAAAAGTAACAATATAGACAATAAATTGACATAAATAAAAAAATTAGAGAATTTTGAACAAATTAAGCATTTTCAAGTGTTGAAAAGGGTTATTCAAAATAAACTTCATCATGACAGGCAAAAAAGAAGATAGCGCTAAGAAAATATCAAAGATTTTACAATCTCTAGAATACTTTGGCCATAGTTCTCAAAAAAAAAAAAAAAAAAGAATGGATAAATCTGAACAAATTAAGCACTAGCAACTGTAAATCTAATAAAATAAATTTTCTGTTTATGCAATTATACCGTTGCATAAATTGGATAAAACATAAATGTATAAACTCTAATCATAATTAGTGGATATCCAAGTGGAGTAGTCAACTAATAAATGATGAGATTCATAAATGATAAATTTAAGAAAAAATTATATACAACATTCTTATGCATTTACATATCTAACACCTAAAGGTTGATACCTGGGTATTAAAATATTTTGAATGAAAATATGTATTCCACTTTTAAAAAGTTAGTGATAGTGATATTTTTGATGTGATGTAAAAGATTTGAGAGTTATGTATATAAATATAAAAGTTAAGATGTTAGATATGTCAATGTATAAGAATTATTAGGTATGTATGTAAATACCCCTAAATATATATCCTATAATTAATATACATTACTAATCAATCATTCAAATAATTATCTGAGTACTTACAATGCCACAAATACAAACCAGAAAAACTAACCTGGAAAATAATTATCAGTTTCCTCCTTTGGAGAGCTTGTAGGAGACACAGTTGACGATCCAAAGCTTGTTTCATGAATATTTGGCTGCAAAACAAGCAAAAGATAGGGACAATAAGGCAAAATTACACAAAAAACAGCATTTCACTCAAACAGGAAAAAAAAATTCATACTGACACATTTCAGCAAAAAAAAAAAAAGAAAAAGAGTGAAATAAAAATCTATGATTATCATAACTTGTTAAGCATACTATTATAATACACATCCTCTCCATTTTATAACTACTAGATTATTGTTCATATGAGTTCAAGGCAGTTGCAAAAGATGAATTTGTAATGGCTATTTTCAGAATAAAATGATGATCTAAAAGCCTGCATGTATGTAGAGGATTATGCCAATGGACAAAGAATCTGAGAAAATTATGGCATTGCTTAAGAATTATATTGATTGGAGATTCAAACTGATAAGCTACAATGCTATGTAATTTTTATTATTTACCTCTTAACGATTTGAAAAATTAAAATACATACTGGTTTAGCTTTATATCCAATCAAACAATTTATAACATGACAGGAAATGAAGCAAGTCCTAAGAACAAATTTGTAGACTAGCCAAATTTTTATAAATGTGTTCATTAATTTAGGAAGTTAAATAAAATTAGTAATGAAATGAGATTCTATATTTAAGGACATCATAAGAAATCAAAAGAAGATTACAAACAAAAGGAATTTAATCTCCAATGACAAAATTGCTTATGAATAATGTGATACGCCTACTGGATCCGATGGAAGAACCGCTCCCCAGATGAACTGTCGGTCCAAGGAGGACCGGTCACTAGCCTAGCCACTCAGCCCAGCCAACTGAGGCGGAAACCCTAGGAGAGGCTGAGGGCGATTACAGCGATTGGGTGGAGCCCACACAACCCTCATCTAAGTTTCCTCACCTTTGCAATTTATTCGTTGTTGTTTGCTGTTTTTGTTTTCCAGACCATATCATGATGACACTAAAAGTAAGATTTGTTAAATCTAGGCTATCGGATTTTTTACTAAATTCAAGATTATGAATTTAGGGTTTGGGTAAGGCTACAGGGGGCAACTGCATGATTTTCTGAAAGATAGTATATTTGAACTATAGGGCTTTTGCAAAACTTAAAAGTGTCATTTTATGTAAAATCTTTATGTAAAATCCATTTAATTTAGAGCCCAGTGGTCTTCTGAGTAAAATACAATCAACTTTAACTTGGACAAATGTTACAAATGATTTAATTTACATGCATCTCTACCAATTTTATGTAAAATCCGTTTAATTTTGAGCCCTGTGGTCTTTTGAGTAAAATACAATCAACTTTAAATTGGACACACGTTACAAATGATTTAATTTACATGCATCTCTACCAAAGAAGTTTTTTATATAATTAAACCTAAATGAAACATAATTTTATTCACTGTCTTCTTCTCATGGGCATTTACATACCTACCATACAATTCTTATATACTTACATATCTAGCACCTAAACTTTCATATTTACATACATAATAGCACCCAAATCTTTAACATTACATCAGAAATACCACTCTTACTAACTTTTTAAAAGGTGAAATACGCCATTTCAAGCATAAGTTTATAACATCAAAGTGTTAAAAAAATTTAAAACACCTACAAAAGATAACATTTGAAACCATTTTTACATTGTTCTTTTTGCAATTTTTATTTTACAACTTCTCAGGAAGTAGAAACAAGATTTGACACTTGAAGAGAATGGAACAATAAAATTCACCAAATCAACACCGCTATTGTTCCATTTGAAAAAAACCTTTTGGATGCATTAATCAAAGAAGAGATTCCCCACAAGAACATTTCAATTGTTTTACTTTTACATATCAAAGACACCAAAAAAAAAAATAGCACGATTGATAAAAAAAGATAGGGGCATTTACAAACATACCACCTAATTCCTACGTATTAAAATAACTAACACCTAAACTTTGCTTATTCACATTCATACCACCCAAATCTTTCTTATCACATCAAAAATACCGCCATTTTAACTTATAAAAAGTATAATACACCCTTTCATGCATAGGTAAGGTGATATGTATGCAAAAAATGAAGTTTAGGTGTTCGATATGTAAATACATAGAAATTGAGTGATGTGTATGTAAATCTTACTTAAAAATAATAAATATAGATTTGAACTTACTTGCTTTTCATGATTTAAGCTAGTTGATGGCAAGGGATGAATGCTGAAAGGATTTACATTTCTGTTAAGGTTTACAGCACCATTATTCTCAGTGGAGCTTGTCAACTCAACTGGAATAGAGCTTTTCCCTGAAAAAATAACTCATTATTCTCTGAGGAAAGTAAGATATGTAAATACATTCACTTATTTAAAATATTATTTATGATTGCTTATTTAGATTAATTGACAGATAAGTTGATAGTTATACCAGAACATAGTCCCATTAGTCTTCGTCTCCTTAGACTGACCATGGCTCACAGCAGTACTACTGCAATAAAGACAATAGCAATTAAAAAGTTTGACATAAAATTTACATTTCGAAAACAAAAATAATGCCTGCAGTCATATCCAAATCTTAGGCGCAAGTAATATTTTACAAACGCAACCAATAAGCGTGGATCTGCATCTGCAATTTCTTAAACCACAAAATTTTTACAATCATACCATGTGAGAGTTATGTAGCGAAGTCCCATATCTAAGACCCAAGCTCAGACTCATTACAAAATTCAAGTAAAAATACATTCAGATCAAGCTAGACAATACTTTGAAGTTAGTTTTAGTTCCAACAAGATTATAATTTAATTAATTAATAGATAGAAATTATCCTTTTTTAGGATTAACTTCTGCTAAAATTAGATTGCAGGATTTATTTATTTTTGGACTCATCATGATTCAGGTTTTAAATATGTTTGATTTTATCTTGTAATTCTTGGGACTTTGGTTTATAATTATCATATTATCTTATAATTATCCCTCCTTAAATATCTATGAAATGATTTTCTTATTATGGGTCTATATTATCATGATTATTAGGATGATATTGCAGAATATCATAATTATGATGGAAATAGAGAAGTTATTATCCACACAAACATTATGGTTCATATCATGATGCTTATGATGTTCTTAGTTATGATAATAGATATAAAAAAGCATGCCCTTCTATCAGCATGAAGATGCCTATGATCTCATTCAACATTCATATCCACAACGCAAACATTATACTTATAAAAAAAAAAACAATATAATGATACCTATCATCAATACCCATCAGATTTAAATATAGATAAAGCATAGACATTATTTTTGAAATATCATCACTGATATATATCATGATTATCTAAATAAGGACGTATCCATATATCATCCTTATGACATTATATTTTTCATAGTTCTCAACCATCCTTCATATTAAATTATCGTACACACACAATTATTACATTGCACAGACAAAACATGCACACACTTATTATATATAGAGCAATAAACCCCGATTAACAACAACCTAGTTCTATTTTAAAAACTCTACAAATTCCACTAGTCTTAAAGATCCAGGTTTAAACACTTGAGGCTTAAGCTTTAGTCCTAAATTAGAAAGCTAAAAAACATATTTATGTAGAAATACCAAGGGGTTGACCTTCACCCATAAACTTAAGATCTTAAGTTGTAAATGAGTTTGACCGTTAATTTATCTGGCAAAAATTTATTTCTCTTTCGGTTCAAACTTTGCTAACCAGAGGTGTGCTCGTTTGGCTAAGATCAAGTTGTTTGTATAATTTATGTATATCATATCTAACACCTGAAATTTGCTTTTTACATCTAAACCACCAGAATCATTCATATCACATAACAAATATCACTTTTTTAACTTTTAAAAGGCGAAATGCGCCTTTTTATGCATATGAAAGGTGCTATATATATGAAACAATTGAAGTTAAGGTGTTAGATATGTAAAAATACATTAGAATTGAGTGGTATCGTTGTAAATCTTCCAAGAAAATAAAGAGCACAATTCTTATAAATTGTTGAAAAATCTGCGCATATGATTGGTATGACCTCTATAATATTAGAATCATCATCAATATAACTCGTTAACTTTCCTCATAAGCAATGTGACTCATTAAACTAAAAGACATTCTAATTGTAACAAAAATAAATCAAGCAAAGTAAAGTCATACTGTTTAAAAGCAAATCAAAACTATTTTCAGCTAAAAATAAACAGCATTCCATCATTCATTGCTTAGAAATTAAACTTTTTACACAGTCCAGGCAAACAATCTCAGCATAAAAAACCCAAAACTGTCCCTTTTAAATAGAAAAAAAAAATGAAAATAGGCCATCTGTC